ACCCAGTCAACCCGTGACCATGGAGCGTGCAACCGTTCCGAAATATCGGGAAAATATAAAGAAGTCATACCGTGGTAAGAAACCCGATACTAGTGATAATCATTTAGTGAATAACCACGAAAGTCTTAAAATCTATATACACTTAGTTTATGTTTGTAAAGTGTAGACGAGACGTCAAGGTATAATTTGGCAGTAAAATCTCAATTTTCGAGTTTTTGTGGCATAGTAGTAGTAAGTAAGTAGTAGTGGTAGTGTAATAAGTTGCTTTCAAGCAGTTCATGTTAAGCTAACTAGATGGCGTCCTAAAAAGACATGATGGTGGTCTAAGAAAGACACCGTAAAACCGCGTGGATTATGATTTTTCTTAACGGTCTGGCCATAATTGTCACGTTAAATTATGGAAATATTCACTCTTGGCATTATACTTACCATGAATTTTGTAAAGTGAGTTCTAATTGTTAATAAAATAATTTTACCTGGTTTTGTTACATCCCTTACTTCTTGTATAAATTTTAATATGAAAGGTTAGTGAGATATCGCATCCACAATGACGAATGTAAACCAAATATTTGTTGAAGAAACGTAGTAAAATTAATATTCAGTTACATTAACATTTTTTTTTTTATTTCCTCCACATAATAAAAACAGAGTCTTGGATTTAGGAATTATACAAATTAGTTGTTGGCGGCCTAACTTAGGAGACCACGTGATTTAAATCACTAGGTCTCCATCTTTCTTTTTTTTTTCAAAGATCTGAGGGGCGCTGCCACTGCGCCTGTCATATTGAGACATAAGTTGACAAGTCCCACGTGCCTGTAATTTCACCAGCAACCCTTACTCATCAAAACCGAAACGCAGTAATGCTCATATCACTGTTTGGCGGTAGAAATAGGTAAGGAGGCAATACTTACGAACTTTTTCACAAGAAACTTTACTGGCACTAAACATCTCCAGTAAATGTGGTAAAAAAGAAAAAGTGAATGATACAGAATCCAAATTTAAGTTAGGAAAACCAAAAGTATCCACGCATTGCATTGGTGTATGCGTATGTGAGTGAGAGTGTGAGTGGGTAAGTGAGTTAACCAACGACCAATTTCTTATACTTAAACTTATTTAGTGGATAGATTTTGATTATTTCTTTTTATTATTTTCTTTGCTTGGTGGTGGGAAAAATAAAGGTATGCATGCAGATTTTATTTATTGTTTTGTACTTATTATACAGTAAAAACAGAATTTTCAAAATCGGCCCACAATTTACAGAGAAATCGTTGAATACGCTGTATATGCCTATAAAATTTGAGATTTCGCTCGATTTCCATGGAATCCCCTCATCTGATTCTGAGTTGGTGAAAATGGGACCACCTCGATGGTCGGATTGTATGTGTTCAGAAACACAGTCGTAGGCAAGGAATTCCATTCCTGGACTGTGTGCATAATAAATGATGATGAAAAGAACTTAGTACGCTTGAAGCAAATGTCAACCAAGTAAAGATGAAATCGCTCTATAAGCGTGGATATCCGATGTTAAACGCGAACGGGACGTGTAAGCTAATGAAGATCATGGCCACCGAAGTATATGCAAAACTATGAAGTTTAGATTTCGAGCTTATCGCGGTAAATAAGTCTCCTCGATCTGTGTTCAACCGAGTTAAGAGCCTCCACGCGATATGTCGCTATTTATGTCTAATGTGTTATCTACTGCAATAAACATGTCCTTTAAAGTTTACTTTACTTTTGGTGTTAGTTATGAACGATAACATAAGAAATAACGCTCGTATAAAATATAGACGTCAATAATCAATATTCAAAGTTCATTATCATAATAGATACTGGAAAATTTCAACAGACGTATTATTTGGAATGCAGGCTAATGTCTATTCAATTGCTTCAGCAATAGATATAGATTGAAACATGCGAGGTAGACATGCAATTTTGGGTGAAACGTTGAGAGCCCTTAGCTGTATTGTGTTTGAAATAAAGAAGGCTCGCTTTGTTGGAGACTCTTTATGTAATATTTATGTTGGAAAGATACAAAAGATGTGCTTGTTATCTATGTGGCAGAATGCCTGTGTATTCCGGTTTAGTAGATAACAACCTATTTATAGGGTTTATCAAGATCTTTTTGGGCTAAGTAACGACATTATATAATTATTCCGGTCTGTTTTTTAATTCTTAGTCGCTGATATGTCCAGCAAGTCGTATCCATGGAATAATACAGCCGCATGTGATCGTACGTCAAAAGAGTTTATCACACGAAAGTTATGGAAATAAACTTACTACATAAAACAAATTATGCGTATTTGTAATTTTACGATTCTCGTATTCGGTAAGCATAAAAATGTCGCCGACTAATATAATTCGTATAATCTTTCAACTTCTCCCCGGAAAAGTTGTAATTTTACAGAAAAAACGAATTCATTGGTGATTCTGACATTATTTTTTAATGTTTCTGTTAGCCGTAACTATGGGACTTGGAAAGTGGCCGAAAAGTTGTTTTGTAAAGAAAAATTATACGCGATTTATATTCGAATAAATGGTTTCATTTCTTATGTGTAATAATCGCGAAGCCTTAAGAATTGTATGCAATTTTTGATCAATAAACATTTTGTCTTCAGTTGTGCTAGTAGAAGAGAAAGTTGAAAGTTGCTCATTCAAATATTTGTAGAGTACATAAAGGTCCCGAAAACTGAGCTGCAGAACATAACTCAAATGAATTTTAAATTCACTTAGCAATTAGCAATCGCTTTCAGTGAGTTAAGTTAATAAACAGCCGAATGCGAGAGACGGGCGTTTCTCTCGTAGCCTTCTCTGATTGCTAGTTTCGCGTAATGTAGGTACGTTATCATGTTTGCCATAATAGACGACAGCTTTTGGTTATTTTGCTTAGTTACTTAAAACAATGCAATATTTTTACTGACGGTTATTTAAATTCTAAAGGAACTTACATGTGATCTGCTATTGGAATACTTTCGTTTCCTTTTCTGTTTTATAAAATGCGCGACGTCTACGACGATTTGTGTGAAGGATCTAAATTATTTAATTGTAATTATAAAAAAGTAAAAACTCGTTATAAAAACCTATTTGCTACCCATCCTGTATGCTTACATAATTGTGTTATTTGTGATACAAGTACTACATTAAATAAAAATCGTTTTATTGTTGACACAAAGATCGAAGAACACAAATAAAAATTCCTTATAATAATAATAATGTATATTTCGTAATGTGCTAGACAACCTTCGATCTGACTGGACTCGAACAAGCGTCTGTTGCCATGCCATGCCGGGGCCATGGCTCCACACTGGGGCCCGTCCATACAATGTAATGTTCGAAACTCAATTTTCAAAATGTGGGTATTCAAAAAGATGTATATTAGCGTAGTCGTAATAAAGTATCACATCACGTGTAAAAATACTGAGTCGCTAACTACTGTCAGTTGTGAAGGCCATCAGCTCAAAGTTTGCTCTTTATGCTAAATAATAATTATTCCGTAACGTACATTAGTTTACGTGCAATCTTTAGAGATTTATTTCTTACGTTTGATATTAAAGTCGATTTAATTGCGACATAATGCAGTGACCAAGCAAGTATGTTGAGTTTCCTATCATTATTATTATTTCATAAATTTCTCGGTATCCGATACACGACTAATAAATTTGTAGTAATATTTAGCGTAGAGCAAACTTTCATTTTAATAATAATAATAATAACGTTTTACAGATTTTTGTGTCGTCAGCGCCATCTGTGAGAAACTTATAAAGTTTCTTCACTCGGCCAGGTGCCTTTACAACTACTAAAAGCTGACAAGAGATGTCGCTGTATCAATTGCAACTTCTACATATTTATTAAATATCATGATGTTTAATTATCATGATATATATATTTTTTATAAAAATACACCACTAGTTAGTAATTATTGTCATTAACACACAAATATCGCGCAGCGACAAAAAAAATTCTTCGATCTGACTTGACTCAAGCTAGCGTTGGTTGCCATGCCAGGTCTACCACAAAAAGGGTTTTATTTATGAAGGTACAAAAGGCTACGTTAATAAATACTGTGGTTTCCCATTAGAATACGCGTTTCTTCGTTCTTATGGTTATATTTTGGACTAGGTAGCTGCCAGCCTTTGTGTTTGGCCTGAGTCTAACAGACTGGATCTATCAATTTGGCTAGTTGGTATATTTACTATAAATACTTACATGTCGGATGTAAGAGCAGATGCTCTGCTGAGCATGAGGAGGCAGGCGAGGACGCGTGCTACCACGCATGGCCAACCCATATTAGGACATCTGCAACAATACAGTCGATTAGCTTACTAGTAAATACGACAGAAGTTTTCAGCACACTCATTGTTTGCGTTTATGATTAATAGAAATAGTAAAGGATACAATGTGTAGCATGTAATGTATAATCCTACAAGATTATTGGTCGTAGTGTCTAGTGGAATTGATAAAGTCATAATATACAGCGACCTCTGTTCGATGTTCGTGGATAGCAGGATTTTTTGGTGACATAGATTTTTTTTCATAATATCAAGTGACGGGACGAACAAGTGCGCCTGATGATAAGCTACACGCTTGTCCATAACAGTTGCAATGGCACTCAGAGCTTTAAATCGCAAAGATTTGAGAGGCACTGCCACTGCACCCGTCACCTTGGGACATAAGTTGACTAGTCCTATGTATTTCGCCAGCACTCTTAGCTGGCGAAATTACAGGCACATGGGACTTGTTGCATGTAGCTTACCATCAGGCGCACGACTTGTTCGTCCCGTCACTTGATATTATAAAAAAACCGATTTCGATGATTCTTTTTTGTTAGAAAGGGTGTATGTTAATGGACCACTATTAACATACCATACACTATAGGGTTGATGTAACTGGTGTACACCTTGGTTGTTTATTTATGACTCAGTAGCTGTATTGTCCCCTTTAGCACGAATGGACAAGTTGCTGTTGTGGAAAAAAAAAATGTTATTTACATTATGTTAATGTTGTTTGAATTGGAACCGGCAAAATTGTAAGAAGACCATGGGTGTTGTAAAGGACGCTATAAGGTATTATAATAATAATAATACTTAATAATAGATAGAGTCTAAAGTAGATATCCAAAATAATAATAATAAATATTTTCTTAATATAAACATTGGTACTTGGTTCTTGGTGTAACGGGCTGGTGTCCGCAACTCGACGTCAAGGTGCCTATTTTGCGTGTGTATATAATATTTCTCAGCAAACTTCGGATTTCCGAATGCATCCGAATACAAATTTCCATGGCTAGTAATTAATTATAAGAGAACTAAGTAATATATATGTACTATAATGTTGTTTTGTTTTGCTTTCCATGAAAACTATAAACTGCTGTAAAACTAAAAACTGTAATCTGTAGATTTCCCTTTATTAACCCATTTAAAATTAAAGGAGGCGGTACTCAATAGGTGACAAATGAGGGGATGAATCTTGTTTGTTGGATATCACCCACTTTCCGTTAACCTATTTTAATAAAACTTGGCAAATAGTTGCGGTTAACTGCCTCCGTGGCCGAACGGTTACCATGACTTTTTGGTTACAGGACTGCCACGCAGAGGTCCCAGGTTCGATTCCCGGGCCGGGAGAAATATTTGTATGGCCTACAATTATTTCTCTCGTGAGTTTGGGTGTAATTTGTGGTTGTCTATGTGTGTGTCCATGGCACCCGCGACACAGGGTTTCCCTAGTGCGGGGCTATGCTGAGTGTGTGCGTTATTTATTTAAAGGTTCCACAAACTTCTGAGGTCGATTTTTTATTAAATAGTTATAATTATGCAAAATATAGTTTGTAACTTAATACATTTTGCCCAACTCTGTTGCCTTACATCATATCTAAGATATTTGTTCAATCATATTAAGAATGCTCTTACATTGGCAAAGTATTTATCATCTGATATCCTGAAAGGGTGTGCTTTTGGCAATACCAGTACATTTAATACATAAAAGATAGGAAAGCTGGAAAAGCAAAAGTGGCCTTTTATTTTCTAAACAAAAATATCTAATATCCGCTAAGTATAGCTGCAGAGAAACCCTCCGCATTAGTTTCACTACGGAAATAACAGTCGAAAAATGTATACGAGTATACTCATTCGCTCGCTAATGTTTCGTTGTTATACGAAATGGCCAACAGACGTAGGTGTTATTAAAATGCGAAGTGAAAATGGCATGATTCATAAAGATAGAGGTTTAGATGGTATTCGCTTAATCTTTTTATTCCAAATTGTAGTCCGATGTTTATTTCCATACACAGGTATTGAACTATTCTTTTCGGTTTATGACGTAAGCAAATGTAGTATGAGCCCCCGGCAATGATATTATCAATACAGAGGAATATGGCCTTCGGTCTATTACAGTACTTATACGTTAAACATACACGCCATGTCTACAAAATACATTGTTTTTTTGTAAAATACTAATACATAAAAGATAATAAGATAATGTAACCTCACTGGACTATATTACCAACATCATAAACATCAACTTTTGTTATGGAACAAAGTAAAATCTGATGAATCATTAGTCATGGGACTTTAATGATTCATCACATTTTACTTTCATATTTGAATTCCGTTACTTTAACCTACCACAAAGGACTCGATTCCTTTTCATCTCGTTCACAACTCCGCACAGCACACTCGCATAGATTCTTTTGCTTCCTTGGTATATTCTTTTATTTTAAATTAAATTGTACTTTGCATTATTTCGCCATGAATAAAATAGAATGTAAAAAGAACGTTAAATTGTAAAACTTACAATGAAACAGAGGGCTCGCTGGAAGTTGTTTCGTAATTATTTTTATATAGCTATTAATTTATAACTACTAATTATTTAGATTTTAAGACTTTCGTGGTTATTCACTAAATGATTATCACTAGTAACAGGTTTCTTACCACGGTCGCCGCCGTCCAGTCAACCCGTGACCATGGAGCGTGCAACCGTTCCGAAATATCGGGAAAATAAAAAGAAGTTATACCGTGGTAAGAAACCTGTTACTAGTGATAATCATTTACTAATTATTTTATTGTTAAATGTAGAAAATCTCTTTTTAAGCTGTAATTAAAGAAATTTGCCCAAAAAGATATCTAAAATACATGTACACATTTACTTTGTTTAGGCATCGCAATTACACATTAGGTTTTAATATTAAAATAAAAAATGTATAGCTTTACTATGAAGAATTTAGATTCCCTTCTTAATGCTTATTTTAATACTATAATAGTTTTATTTACATATCTTTTAATTGTATTGTATTAGATTAAGTTATATTGAAATCAATTTGTTTTTATCTGTATACAAAAATAAATATATTTAAATAGACCACTATATAGGTACGGTAATAACTCTGCGACCGGGGTTGGGGAGTGGCTAGTAGTCACGGAGCAGACGCTTGCACGTTTGAACTTACTTTATTATGAAATACAGATGTAAAAAGTGTCAGTAGTAAATTTATTATCTTTTTTGTAAAAAGACATGAAACAAGAGTGTTGTTTAAGATGTTAGTACAGTCCTGCGAGATTGTTAGTTAGTTTTAACAATAACCCAGTGTAGGTAGGTTACTTAATTATAAAAGAACAGCTATGGTGCCCTATCACATTTGTCCTTCTATGCATATAATAAATTAATTAACTGTACTTTTATACCAGCACTACGAGGCTACGTGATATTAAAGTCTGTAAAATAATACGCATAACAATTTTTAGCAATAAAATAAACCAACATATCAAGTTTACTCAAAATGTTACGCCACATGATATAGACTCGAATATGAGTCTCACCATGTTTTCTGTAGACGACATTGTACATTTTGTCGCCATTTTGAAAGACTTCTTTGTCAAGCGCCGGAAACGTGCTCGCCATACAAGTCACGTACGTGCACTAAAAACGAGGGCTAGAAAAGTTAGCCTTTTCTAGATTCCAGTTGCTCACATTTTCTTGATTTAGGTGTAAGAGTTGGAAGTTATGCAATGGAGCCGCAACGTTGATTACATACCTCTGTTTTCGTCGGGCTTGGGCATAAAATTTGTGTTGCCTGTGCAGGCGTGTCGCTTACCTCCGGGCTTATGACTTGTTCGTCCCGTTGCTACATCATCATCATCATCAAACCATTTACATGTTCCACTGTTTGGCATGGGTCTCCTCTCAGGCGAGGGCTTTGGGCTCAATGCAGTTTGGAGATTTAACGTGTTTTCCGAGATCACAACTCTTCCTTTTTCGACGTGCAGGGGTCATCACGATGTTTTCCTTCACCGAAAAGTTCACGGTAAATTTCAAATTCAATTTGCACATAAATTGAGTGGTACTGCAAACTGTTATGGACATGTCGCTTACCACAAGGCGCACGAATTGTCACCTCCCGTCACTTGGTGCCATAAAAAAAATCCAAATACAGTCAACTGCATTACTATGTACATGTTATGCATATTGCGATTGCGGTGAAACAATCTCCGTGATCGCTGTTTTGAATTGTTATAACACTTTAGTACAAAAAATAACATTTACCTACATTTCGTATAAAAATAGAATTTTAAATTCACCATAGATTGAATTGCAGGCTTATATCCGCCCTGGACACATGCAGCTTGTATGTACATACATGAGGTGTACTAAATAAATAAAACACTGAACACTACATCATCAACTATTCAAAAACAATGATAGTCAGTAACTAAACCATTACAAGCTAATATCGAGAGCCGCGGTTTGTGAATATTCAATAATACCAACATTTCAAAATAATTTTATCAAAGCCAATCGAACATTTTATATAGATATTAAAAAACCAGTACCCTAAAGCCCAATTTGCATTACCGCGGAACCAAATGGAAGCGAATTGTACATGGTACAATTAAGTTTATGTCTATTGCGTTGCGAACAAGATACGACACGGTAGTTTCGTATTCAAATTCTCCGTTAGAGGTTTTGTCTCGTATGCAGTTTTTTATAATACGAAGTGACGAGACGAACAAGTCGTGCGCCTGGTGGAAAGCGACACACCTGCGCCTGTCCCAATGGACAGGCGCAGCAAAAAAAATGAACTGCAATCAGTTGCAGTGCCACTCAGAGTTTTAACCGCTCACGCGATACATGCAGCAGTAGACGCATACCACACCTAGAGGTACCGGTGATGATTTTATACCGATTTATCGGATATCGAAGTTATAACAGGTAAAATAACTAATATTAATTGCTATTTCGGTAACTACTCTAGCAAACCATAAAGTTTTTAATGCCTGGGTCTGTCATTTAAAAAAAATAAACAA